GATCGTTATATTCTATATTCCCGAGGCCATCTGCCTCCCAACATGAACGCTTCTTGCAATCATTCATGTCGTTTATTGTCGCGGCGTCTGGGCTTACTGAATTTGATCTCCCTGCAGCCTTCTTTGTCATAACCAAAATGATTTAGCTCGTGTGAACACCTGGTCTTGTGTCGTGCTGAATAATATTAATTGTTGATGTTAAGACGACTGACTTCACGCCGTTTTCGTCGCCATGAAGATGAATTTCTCCTCAGACAATACTGGCACACTTGCTACATGCTTGTGTGTGTTTTGGTTTTGAAACAACACACTACAAGCTTTCTCAAGCCACTTCCAATATTCGGTTAATACCGATCTGCCAATGGTAATATCCGTCAATTTCTGTCTACCATGTTTTTAATATCCTTCCATCAACACATGCATGGAATTTGCAATAATCTAACCGTTGATATGCTAGCCTATCAACATACTATCACCGCCATGTATTACATACAACTTGAATACACAGTAATACACTATAGAAAATTATATCACGTTGATTATATCACGTGATCCGTAGACAAGGCAACCGCTATTTCTGATTGCTTTTGATGTTCCCGACAAGTGAATTAATGACCCGTACGTTCATCATTCATTCCCCACCTACACGACTTGTCTTTAATCGCGAAGATTTTTACTCAATTTCAAGTGATCAAGTCTTTCTTGCAACCTAGAGAAACGCGTTCGATCACTTTGAAATAATTTAAGGTTTACTGTAATACTGAAGTCAAAGTCCATTATTGAGCTGGCCAGGCTGCAAATCATTAGACTTCAATTACACAAAATTAAAATTCACAAAGCGTCATAAACGATGGCTGCTTTCAGTAAATGACCCAAGTCATAAAATTAATACATATAACAACAAACATTTATCATTTTATGCTATCATTTATTCAACTTTTTCATAGAAATTTAATCGCCATGTATTAGATCTATTTTTAGAATATTATCATAATGTAGAATCTTAGTCACATTCAGATTTGATATAGACAACCCACTGTGCCACCATATCAATCAAATTTCTCCCTTTAGTCTTTAGACTAGTCGTCTAACCCAGCTAGAGCGAGTGAAAATGGCTCTGGGGACATGAGAATGCATCCATCGCACGGCTTTCCCCGAGTGGTCCTGGTTCAGGCCCGTACGTAGTCTGCGTTGGAACTTGGTTGCATGCATATGCACCCAAACCTACAGGGGGTGCAGGACTGCAGGTGGACATTAAAAGTGCCCCCCATAGAAATTATATATCCTGTTCTTTATCACCAATAAGTAAAGAAAGTCTTAACAAAAGTTATGTTTTTGAAACTACTTGTTTCATTATTTTTGTGTATGTGTGAATAAAAATTGTGATTTCAAGTCAAGATTAGAAAAATAAATATGTTTAGAGAGTTTTTACTCAAAATTCAAGACGGCGGACTTGAATCGGAAATGTGCCAAAACTATCACAAATTCTTCGCGCTGCAATGTTCTGATATAACTTGCATGGTCACTCAAGTAAAATGGCATAAAACTCCAATAGCAATAAACCGGCGTAATTATTGCATGTGCGCAGTCACTGAATGACTATTATGTCTATAATGACTATAATGACTATAGAATGTAGTTCAGCAAGGTAAGTATTGTTATAATAAAGATAGTGGCTCCCTAAGCCACACTGAATTTAGTGAATTAGTAAAGCTGCTTTCCAGTTGAGCGTTTTTCATACGTGCATGCATGCGTGTACGCCAATGGTGTACGCACAGAAAAGTTTAAATCCTTTTAAATTTTACTTATGAAATAACTGAATTGAATAAAAGGATATAATTTAGTTTTCTGTGTGATTTAATATGCATTCAGTAGTTGAGGTAATTATAGTACTTCGGTATAAAATTTAGAAAGATTTAAACTTTTACGTGCGTAGTACTACGCACGTAAAAGTTTAAATCTTTCTAAATTTTATACAAGTACTATAATTACCTCAACTAATGCATATTAGTTGAGGTAATCTATTCAGAAAACTAAATTCTATCATTTTATTCAATTCAGTTATTTCGTAAGTAAAATTTAAAAGGATTTAAACTTTTCTGTGCGTACACCATTGGCGTACACGCGCATGGTAACTGGTGAAGCTATATAAATATTGTCAATCTTTCAATCCATGCACACAATTTGACGCGAACACTGTTTTTATATCTTGGCTACCTGAGTTTGTAAGCCAATGGTCAGAAAAATTTGATTTTCATTCTGACTGAAACTTATCATCACTGCATGCATGACATTAGTGTATCGCTGCATCACGTCACGTCAGTGGAAAAGGGAACGTGTTGTAACTGTCGTCAGAGTCACTAGTGAGCTTAAGCAAGTGACGTTTTTGACAACACGAACGGCATAAGTAACGTCAGAAGACTGGGTCAAAGGCTGTGATTGGTGAAAAACGTCAACTTTACTTCCGGTCGACGTCCGTGTTTTCAAAAACGTCACTTGCTTAAGCACACTATTGTGTCACTGCGTCAGACGGCCGTAGTGTTCGCGACCAAATGGAAACATGAACTCGTCATGAAGAAAAGTGTTGTTGCGACACGCTGGCGACAGTTACGACAGTTACTGCAACAGTGTCGTCGAGATAGACTCGAGTTCTATGTCGACGACAGTTGGACAGGCTAAAAACGTATCGTGACGGTTATGTTTTCATGCAATGGAAACAGAAAAACGAGTGCGTGGCAACAGTTTTACGACAATCAGGCCTGTTTCATACGTCGCCTATCGTCGAATTTAATTCAGACGAATTTAATTGAACGAATTAAATGCGACGGTAGTGCATCGTATGAAACGAATTAAATTCGTCTGATGAATTAAATTCGTCCAAGAGGCAAGACGTTTTATCCGTCATGGTCAGACGGATGCAACGTCTGTAGCGCGCCGGTCTTCGTTTCATACGACATTTTATCGTCGTGTCGAATTAAATGCATTGCATAAGTCATGTTAAAATCTGTTTCCGTCTTTCTGATCCCGTGGTTTTTATTTCTGGGTTATCCATGATCGCTAGTCATGAAATGAATTCGTCTGAATTAAATTCGTCGTTTGAAACGAAACCATTTTAAACTCGACCAATGGACCATTTGTATTATAGAGTAAATTTTGATCTAGACAAAAATTTCACCACAGCTTGAAAGAGCATCACAAAATTAGTAATATTCCAAAGTTTCGTTGCGAAATGTTGTAAAATGCGGATAATATAGCCTTGCGAAGTTTGCCGTT